AACTAACATTTTTTATTAATTTCATTTTACTTAGCTTGCTTGCCTGTGATTTTTTTTTTTTTTAATATGTACAGTAATCACAAATGCCATACAGATATTTTACTATTTCCTTTTTGCATTCCTTATTACAGCACATCCCTGTGCTACCACCACTGTGCAGTTTCAACCTGTATCATGGTAGCTCTGCCTTTCACTAAACAGGAGAGCACTAGGTGGCTGGCTTCTCTCCCTCCCCACCTCCATCACAACTCCATTTAAAATAGATTTATTATATGAGCTTGCACAGCTCCTTTTCCAGTGGGTAACTAAGACATTTCTCTACCTCACATTTCCATTTACAGCTGGGATGGTTGCTGTGTTGCAACCTCTCTGCCTCCAGTAGCAGGCTGGGAAGGGCTCCTTCCAACACCTTGGAGAGCCCATCAAGCAAGAACAGGTTACTGAACTTGATGTAAATTACCACAAGTTTTTGACAGCACAAATTGTCCAAATTCTATTCACACCAATAAAGCAGGCTTTACTGTCAGTCAAACTTCTGGCTAAGCCTATTCTTTATTCCTTTAAGAGGAATATTTTAAAGAAATTATTCCTTCCTTTATTTATTCCTTTGGAATTCCTTTAAAAATGCGTTTATAAGTACTTTTCAAAAAGGTAACGGCTAAAAAGTGGCAAATACAACCTTCACTGGCTAAACACTCGTATGTCATTTCAAAAAGACCTACATATGGAAAGTTCCCACTTATTATATATTCTGAGAGCTATCACTTCTGACTGCTGGTAATTGCCAACATGTTCATTTTGCTTAGCAACAGTTTTACAGTACATGAACCATTTGTGCTATCATAAGATATTTGCAGATTCTCTAGATGTTTATGGTGTTTCCACTGATTTTCTGGTAACGTGTGTGACATTAGAGGGACCTGTCCGAATGGATTTGTCCAGGTTTTCCCTCAGTGTACTTCAGGGGACATGGAAGTGCTCAAAACACTGACCTTTTTTTCCCCCCCTCTGTGGAATCATTTCTCTTTTATTACTCAAGGATGAAAACATTCTCAGCATCCCTACAGACTTACTTCAGCAGCAATTATAGCGCTACAGAAAATGACTTCTGCAAAAGTTTTGCTAGTGCCAGCCACTACCTTCTACAAACTCTTGACCTAATGGAGAAGTCAAAGAAAAATGCAGCTCTCACTTCAAATATGGTTCTGTGCACAGCAAGGAGAGTTTCAGCCACAGTTACTACCTGCTTAATAGTAGGACACAGCTTGAGAAAAACAAGTAAAGGGTTGTTTAAGTGAGCAGTGCATCCATCAGATGGGAGTGGACAAAAAACTTCAACTATGTGAGGCCTAACGAGCACTTGTGAGCAATCCACATGGCAACTGGATGTAGGGCAGCTGTCCTTATCCTCTGTTCTTGTGCCATTTGCGATAAAAACCTCTGCCAACAAAGCTTACTAAGCTGTGACATCCCAGAACTCCACATGGCCTGCAAAATTTGCTTAGGATAGCTTAGAAGTTGAAGGATTTCTCAGCACTTGGCTTCGTGCCATAACCTCCTACAATGCCAGTCTCAAATTAAGACTCTCTCCGAGATGCAGCCACACTGCAAGAAGGCAAGATGCACCCGTGAGCGACGTGACAAACCTGAAGGGAGCCCAGGGGCAGAGAGATTGACGGACCCCGGCGCTGTTCCCTTCAGGCTGTCGTTCCTCCCGCGCAGGCCTGTGACACACACAGACCCCCCTGTCCTTCTGCTCCAAGCTCGGGGCCAGCTGGGTCTCTTCCCAGCACCTCTGTGCTCATCTCTCCCTTCACAAACTGCCTCTCTGGCCTCCGCTTTGCCGCCAGCCAAGTTGTCGTGGTTTTCCTTTTCCCCTTTGCTGAGCTCCAAGGCCACGGTTAAGCCAGGCTCTGCTGCATCTGGTGAAGACAGCCACGTCACCAGAGTGCTCCCGAGGTGTTTCTGAATGCAAGCAGAGCCTCCACGTGATGAGGCACATGTAACCTTAACATTGCCATTCTCTGACTTTTGATGACTTAACCGTGCCACGGAAACTCTCCCATGAATAAACACAAACCAAAAATGTTTGACGTGACAAACTTAGCACTGAAAAGTGTTCTAAAATAAGCCAGCAGAGTAACATTTGGTATACACTGCGCTCTGACATGGTATTTTTATTCATCTGGAGGTTCTCAGTTTCCTCAAAGTTGCATGGGATTAGTTCGGGAAGTGATGGACTAGTTGGCACAGTCAAACAGTTGTTACTGTAAACTCAACAGAGGCCCCAGCGGATTTTATTGCGATGGATTATGACATTCCCTTAGCTGCCACTTTTGGATTTCTACCAGACATCACTGCCCTCCAAAGCAGTGGCGACACAGAAAAATTTGTCCCAGGTACTCCAGATCAGACTCTGCTGTTTTAACACTAACCTACCTTTGCAAGTCCAAAAATAAGGCACACATGTATTTGAAAGCTGCCTGGGGAATAATGACTGTTGAACCCTGTTACCATTCTTCAAGAGATAGATTTAAATCTGCAACCAAATGATTCCCTCCTCTGACATCAGACAAAGAATGAAAAGACAAACGCTGAGAATCTGTAACCTATGATACAGCAAGGAAGCTACCAAAAAGCACCAGGCCAGGTGTGAGCCCCACAGAACTCCTGAGTTGAACATACATGTCATTGCTGGGGCCAAGCATACAGTTGAAAGTTCAGAGTTTAGATCTTACCCAGCTGCAGACTCCAATCTATCACACTGTCAGTGAACATCAAGAAAGGCCAACAGAAATTGCAGCATCCCCGGTACACAAAACAGCAATAAGCTCACCAGTCAGCAGCACAAAATGAGCGTGATTTTGGAATGCAAGAATCTCCCAAACGATGGAATGCAGAGAAAAAGTAAAGCCAAACATTTGAGATGGCAGCATGAAATAACTACGCTGATTGTTTCTTTTTTTTTTTCTTCTGTGCCACTCGCACAGTCTAGACAACCTATAAGATCTCTCCAGTTCACTGGCCTGTGCTTTATGGAGCGTTGCATCGTTGTTATACAGCCTGTAACAAGTCCTGCCACATCTGCAAGAATAGAGATTTTTCAACTACATTGCCAAAAAAACAAGAAATAAGGCCTCAATCCAGAAGAGACAAAGTGCATCTTGCTGGAAGAGCTACAAACAGAAAGTGACACCTGTCAGGATATAATTACCAGCCACCTACGGAGGAACAGGACCGTAACATCCCACAAAAGCCAGTTGTTCAGCAGCTGCAGCAGCATATTAGAAAACGGGCACATTCAGAATAAAGGTATGCTTCTTGGTGAAAAAGGTTTTCAATGACTAATAAGGGACGTTTTAAGCTCTTCATCACTTTCACTGTCTGCAGAAAATAAAAATGCCCCTGAAACATTTTACATAAGAGGTTAAAAGAAAAGTCAGAAACTACTGAAGTGGACAATTCTCATATTGTTCCTAGAAAATACTTAGGAGTAGTTTTCATAAGCTCAGTCCCAAACACTGAATCTTTTCCCCTCAATATTCACCTCCCAAACAAATCTGCTAAGATTGCAAAATACTGGTTAAAGTTGGGATTTGTGTGTGTGTCTATGTGTGTGTGTGGGGGGGTAACTAAGTTTTACATTTTTTGTGGGCTTTTTTTGCTATTAGATTGTGAAACATTTTACTTGACCTGTAAGAAGTTTGCTGTATTTATTTCCAAGCAAGATTTTCTCTCCCATGGTAGAATCCTTCAAGTCTTATTATTTCCCCTTTCCCATCTATTTATACTGAAATTAACATGAAAGAAACAAAGTACATCTATACTATATATAGCAGAATTTTTCCCCATAGACATCAATCTTCATCCTGCAAATACTTTATGCTGTTTACTTTTTGAGAAAGAACCTGCTTATAAAATCCACCACTGATGCAGCAGACTTTAAGACTGAGACATTAACTGAACATTAAGATGACTTCAATTTCCTAAAAAACCCCACCAATTATTCCTTCATTCCCCCAAGTTACATATTAATGTTTTCCCTCACATTTTTCCCCATTATATTTTCAAAATTAAAAAAAAAAAAAAATTCAAGTATCTCAACAGGAATAATGTCCTTTCCTAGCAAGGGCAGTTCTAAAGACATCCCTGAATGAGAGCTGATGGCCACACACCCCACTGGGGTTCAACAGGAGGTGTCTGTTCACAGTACTTGATGAGTTGTAAGGAGCCACTGCTAGTCATTCTGAATTGCTTGGACTTTCTGTGTGAATGGACTGGTATCAATGGCTTAATAGAGCGCAACACGGCATTGTGCAGCTAAGAATGTTACAATACACACCCAAAAAAATAATAGGGAAAAAAAAAATAATCTATTGTGATGACCTTCTGTCTTCAATAAATAACAAACTCTGTTTGTGCAGGGCAAACCTGTTCATAACCCCAGGATTACTGACAGTTAAAAAACAGCTGCTTTTCTGACAATAAAGATGAACACAGGATTAACCAAGATTTACATTTTTTGATATATAAGGAGAGTGAAATTAAAAAGAAGAAACTACAACTAATATACAGGAAATCTGGAAGATTAACCCACAAGAACTCTTCTGGAAGACATCTGGCAAACTAGAAATATATCCAGACTCTTCAAATACTTTAAAAGTTCAATTCTTCTAACTAGGTACTGCAGAAAGTGCAAACAGTGTCTCCAGCACTATCAGAGCTGCAGATACTGAACAGACAGCTGCTGGCTGACATCTGCATGATTTTTGATAGGTTTATCATAATGGATAGTGGCCTGCCCTTTGCTATCATAGCAGAGGTAATACAGAGTTAATAAATCGCATCTCTGAGAATGCAAATGCTTGCTCATATAATGGTAACATTAATCCAGAATGGTGGAAATACAAGCCTATAAATGAAAAATAATTATTTCCCTGAAGGATTTTACATTAATAGTCCAGTTCAGATAAAGATACAAAAAGAACACTTTCAAATAGTAATAGTAAGGAACATTTTATTAAAATGGAAGTTTGTCAAACCTTATGTATCAAAACTAAGGCCACAGCTAATGCTAACACAAAGTCAACTTCAAAAGGTTCTTATGATACAATTTAGAAATCTTATACAAAGCTATTTTACAAATGAGTACTAGAACTTTCTGAAATGCAGCATTACTTGTTCTAAAATGATATATCAATTATTCTAGTGATAATATTTAATGATACAAAGTAGTGAACTATCAGTGCATATAACCTGTCTTTATTTTGGTCCTGTGAGGGAGGTAATTTGCTGCACCACTCCAGCTACAGAAATGAATGGAAGTACAAAACACTGTAATGGAAGCTGCCAATGTTTCCTCCCTTTTGTGCTGAGTTCATTTCTTTTCTTCTAATGCTAAATGTCTCCAGTCATAATAGCAATGAACTCCTCTTGATTGACTGTAGAAAAAGAGAAAATCGTTAGACAAGCAGCAAACATCCATAAACCATAAAAGAAAATAATGTAGATGTGTATTATAGTTTTTACTTAAAGGTTTTGCAGTTAGTGTTCATTGTGTCTGATCGATTACTCATCAGGGTTTACAAGTTTGGAATTTTTTTTTGCACTGAACAACAGAGATTTTGCCTTTTTTCCCCCATATGAAAGGAAAATTCAGAATGAAAGCTTAACTGTGTGGAATACTTAAGCCAGAATCTAGCCCTGAAGCTATTATTTCTAATTATAAAAGTAAAAACACTCTAGAAGTAAAACAAGGTAGGAAAAAACCACTAAGTATGTAAAAAGATGGCTACACAACAATACTTTAATATTGTTATTAACATTAAAAAAAATTAAAAATGGTAGATACATTTTATTAAATAAGTGCTTTTTAAGCAACAATCCTGCAGCTCCAGTTACAAATTGTTTTATTCTTATAAACATGATTCAGACATTTATGTCCAAACTGCCTCCCCACCCCAAACCAAGCTATCCCTCTCTCAAACCTGTAACACTTGCCAAACACAAAATTAATTTTAAGATCATCTACTCATGATTCCATAAATTAGCTAGAATTAAAATGGACTTTTGACAAGCTTTTCCCCATCTGAACTTTCTTCATTCTTCAGTTATAATTAAGAGAAATCTTATACAAATGTACTTGAAGAAATTAAGTCATAATAATAAATTAATTAGCAGTCATTAATTATTTTGCTGCACTTATACCTGAGCTATTGACCTTACTCATATGTTAAAACAGAGCCACTGTAAAAGACTTAACCAATGAACATGTTCACTCTTCAACTAATTACTGTGGTGGGGAACGATTAGAATAAGTCAGTGGTATGAAAAGACCAGACACGTTTGAAGAATACTCCCTGACAATTATCTGTCCCGGCCAACATGTCCAAGCTATTCCTGAACAAAGCACTGCAAAGTAAGAGCTACATTTACTGCTAGAAGAAAATGAAATTCAACTTTGTTAAAGAATAAAAAAAACTCCAACTTTAATCTGCCCTGTTGCAACACATACCAAAAAATATGAAACAAATAAATTTAGTCTAGCTTAGGACCCTGAATTATCAGTCCATCATATAGCTATGTCACGTTCTATGATACGTAACAATTTCCACAGCTTTAGCACAGCAACAGCACAAGCATCCTCTCCAAAGCATTCTGTTTTAGAACATCTTTGTTAAACAATGCTGCAAAGTGGAAATACAGCACTATGACAAATACCGTAATATTCAAACAAACTGCAAAGAGAAGCGTAGTTACAACTCCCAGTAACTCCGTTATTCCTCCTCAGACTTAGGATCTGCTCACAAGTTAAGCACAAACAAGTCAGAAGCAATGTCTTTCCTAGCACCAGATTTCCCTCAGTTCCATGACATAAATGATAAAAGAACAAACTGGTATCACAGATAATATGAAGAAAAAGTTGACTCAGACCCTGGGGACTTAAAGGAGCCTGTTATTTCAGTGGAGGTTTTTATTCCTAATTCTGTGCCAAAACCCAAGACTGGATTATGCTTCCTACAGATGCATCCACCCAAGACAACAAAAATGGCATGAACTGACAGTATGGAGTTTCTAAAAATACATCTTGCTCTAAAACAAAAGTCATTCCTAGGACCAGGAATATGGAAATAAGACTATTTCCGGTTTTAAGGCAGACAAATATGTCAAAAATACTTTCTTCTGAAGAAAGTTATGTACAGTGTACCAGTAGAGCTCAGTGGTTTTGCTGGAAACACAAGGGTCCAAAGAAGACTGGCTATCACACAACAGACCTACGTCACCATGACCAAAACAACCTCTCACATAGGAAGGGTGTTAAACCACAAGTGGTATTATCCCTGTATTTGAAGACTCAACTAAAAATGCTACCAACTAACAGTTTCAAATAATTTTTGGCAGGAAAAGGAGAATTAGATGACAGCAAGATTTTGCTACATGACCCAGATGTTTGAAGCTAAATGGAACAGTGATTCACAGGATTATTTACTTTTTCAGAATGAATCTTTAAAAGCTAGAAACAGCATCAGTTTTCTTTAAAGAAGAGAAAATATACAGAACCTTAAGGATAAGCAGCACCACATACAAACATTATGCTGTCAATCTTCCATATTCGATCTCACGCTTGACTGCTCAAGAGAATGAATGGATGAATGAATAAGAGAGTGAGCCACCCACTCATAGCTGATCAATTTGAATTAAAAAATGTAACACTGACCCAAAATAATTATGACCCAGTAACCTTCCTGAAAGGAGCTAATGGTCTACATTCAGTTTGTAGTGATCAAATAGCCACATGACAAAAAAAAACATCCCTGGACCCATGTTCTGACATCTCAACTGGCAGCTCCAGGAGAGCAACACAGAAGAAAATATGTTTGCAGATGAACCATACTCACTCACCTCTACAGCTACACCTTGCAAAAACCACTCCCTCGAAAGTAAAATTAATCTAAAATAAAAGTCAAGTTAGCAATGCAATGTTCTTACAACTCATTGTTTTAAAAGCAAAACAAGCTCAAAATTAAAGTATCTACCTAGACTAGCAATCAACCTGATGGATTGAGAAAACAGGCATCATTCACTGCCTGCTTGGCAGCTACTGAAAAGGAAGTTAATAGGTATCCTATTGTCTGCCAGAATTCACAGCTGCAATCCTGTGTGTCACTACAGACAGGTGCCTGAAAACAGGATCTGCAGCTTTCACTATACTGACCTGCTTCAATTATCCTATAGGAAACACTGAGAAAAAACAAAATCTGTTTTCTCAGGATGCAGCTCCAACAAAACCTGATCAAGTAGTGAGACAGTTCAGGGATCTAGGCAGCAAGAAAAATAACACTTAAAAACCTAAACGAATAGTTTTCTTCTGGCTTAGATCCTTTAATCACCTCACCTGTGGGATCAGATACTGCCAGTGCAAGAAATGGGTGCAAAGACACAGCTGGGAGCGTGAAGAAACATCAGAATTGTACGGTATGGATTTATTAAGGAACCACGGTCTCAGACCACAGAAAGACAGCAGAAAACAACAGCTCCATCACACATTTTTCTCAACACTTATTTAGCAGTAACAGTGTCAACCTTAACACTCTTCTGGCAGTTGAGTCACTGACCTTTCACTATCCTTGTCTCCAGGTTCCCTATTTACACCACCCCAGCAGAACAAGAGGTTCACATTTCCACACCACTGACCATGTTTAAAAATCCTGCTCTTCCTCTTGAAATAAAAAGGGTTGTTTCATTACTTGACTAATTGTACTCCCTGGTACGCAGTAACATCTATCTCTAGGGAGAAGTGTCTGTCACAAAGCTGACGATGCAATTTTTTTTCCACTAGTAGTGAGAGTTTTGAGTCCAACAGATGTGGTAGCTTGCAAAAAGAGCTATTGTTACAGGAAAAATTGATGAACTCTAGTGAAATCTCAGACTTGAGTCACCGTCCCAAAAGAAAAACTTAGAAGTAGGTTTTGATGATTTAAAAATGCAGTGTTTATGTAGACGGTCTCAAGTGAGTGGTCCCTGAAATTAAGGTTTCTGGTAAAGACAAAAGAGTGCTTTCAAGTTAACAAAAAAGCACCTAAGTCTCAGTGTTCACGAAGATTTAATAAGCACAGTATCAAACTGAATTTGTTAATTCATTCTTTATCTAGCTAATAAATGCCTTCTGCAGCCCACTTTGTATGCATCTTGTCAATTGTCCAGAGTAATTTTTCACACCATGCTCTTCAGTGCTCTGAGGTTCAGTATCCAGGCTGATCCTGCACAGACACAGGCTACAACCAGCATCATTTATTAGCTTAATACTCCGTATCTGACTACCATGCTGAAATCACAACAGTGACACATCACCGCTTAAGAAATACTGAATAGGTGATCAGAAGAGTTTCTCTTAGCACTTTAATCCTTTTACTGATTTATAAAGATATAAAAATGTCACGTAGGTACACGGAATCTCCCACGTAACAGTTCAGTTTCTTCCACCTTCAACTACACTTTCACTCAACTTTTAATGGACGTTGGTTGAATAAGAGTTAGTGGTGAATCAGCTTGAGAAATCACCTTGATTTTTAGACTCCCAACATGTGTTTCCAGGAGCAGTAGTTGTCAAAACCGACTTCCATTATTTGTAAGCCACAGTAAGTTTAAGCTAAAAGCTATTTAGAAGGAAATTAAAGAGGACATTTTCACAACAAAACCCCATTTAAAAAAAGAGGAGAAAATTAAGAACAGACTATACGGGTTTTTGTTTCTAACACCTACTTTCTCCATCTCCATCCTTATCAAATTCTTCAATCATAGCCCGTAGTTCTTCATCAGACATATTTTCACCCAATTCTCTAGCAACTCGGCGCAGGTTTCTTAGACTTATTTTACCAGAATCATCATCATCAAACAATTTGAATGCCTTGAGTATTTCTTCTTGTGGGTCTCTGTCCAGTATCCAGTCCGTCACTGTATGAAGAGTACCTTAAATTAGACTAAAATAAATTCTGAGGGGTAAACTCAAAATAACCTTAGAAGACTGAGGCAATATAAAGAACATACATTTCCAATTTCACCCTTTCTTTCATTTTTATGTATTTCAATTCAACATGCATATTTGTTTGACTGTTATCTGACCTCTCCTTCTCACCTCTCTTTTCCCAGGCTGAGTTTCTCTTTAGGACATACCTGTTGCAGTGGAAAGCTACATGACAGTTTAGGTGCTTTCAATACACTTCTCAACAGGAATTAAAAGTATACACATGCCTCTCCTCTGTTCCAAACTTACCTTTCAGGAAAAACAACTCTGACAAATGAAGATGTGATTTTTTTCTTATTTTATGCTTTGATCAGGATAAAATTTTGACTTGGAGAGAACACTGAAACACTAAGTAATAAAAAACATTCACATGGAACCTCTCCTTTAGATACAAAATCACACTAACAAAAACCAAAAAAAGTCTAAACCTAGGGGTTATGAAAAGAACACTGCTATAAACTGCAAGATGTTAATTCTGAAAGGATTCATCAGACTTTATTACTCCTTTATCACAACCATTTGTCAATTTCTGTAACAGAAAAGGCAAACTGGCCACAGAAAATATTTTTCTTGTAATTATTTCAGACCAATCAACCATAGTAGATCTTCACATTTTTATACCTGTTAGTTTTGTATTACAGGGCTTGCTATTTATGACTTTCATCAAGCCATTAAAAACACATCAACCCCATTTTGTGCACAGAGAATCACTTAGCATCTGCTACTGTCTGCAGATGGAATGACTGATCTGGCTTGGCAAACTTGACAGGAAAAAATTAGATTCGAGCTCATATAAGGTCACTACAGCAATAAAGTTTACGTGTCTACATAAATCCCCCAGATCTATACTAAAATTTAAATATTTTCATTTACACTGCATGACAGTATTACATAATTTGAAAAATTCTACCTTTTGTGGCAAAAAGACAACTGCAATGTTAGCTGAAGAACAGTAACACATGACTGTACAAAACAAGACAAAAAGTAATTGCATCTTTATACATTTCAGATAGGCCATTCCTACATTTAAAACCATAAATAACACTAAATTATGAAAAGCTGATGGCTCAAGAATTGCTTGGCTATATTTACCAGCTCTTCACAATTAAATCTTCTATAACCTATTTTCACTAACTCCCTGATCTTTCTGCTAGAAGTGGTATGATGTTTAATTCTGTGCTATAGTCAAACGGCATCACAGCAGCGCTCAAATCCGATTCAAGTTTTGGGACAGGTTCGATCACCTTCCAAGAGAATATTGTGCTTTCTACAAGAATTCTCCTAGCTTCTCACAGCACTTACAGACTGCTCATATGGATAGCCAGGACAGAACCAGGAAACAATGAACAATGACAGGACTGAACATCAGAAATTAAAAAAGAATTACACAGTAATTACAGTATATTCAATTACATATTATAGCATAATGATGTAATTATAGTGGTATTATTATTACTATTAAATCAATACTCTCCTTTTTTTTTAATTATATCAGGACTGATCATGTGTATTTCCCCACAGGCCTTACTTCTGTTTCTCTTCTGACTTAGAATTTTCTCTAACCTGAAATAAAACTCTAAGAATATTATCTGACATTAACAACACATTCTGCCCAATCCTAATCTGTTAAATCATTACAATTTGCCACGTTTCAATCAATAACTGTTTTGCCACGTTAAGTACATTGTAGCCAAGAGCAAACACACAGGTACTACACTGGGGAGGGATTTCAGAAGCTTTACAGAAATCTAATACCTTGGACACATGGACTGGAATAATTAAATAGAGATGTAAAGCCATACGGGGTGAAATCCCACACAGCTTATTTTTTGGGGTAAACACATATTATATGCAAAAGTATAAATTATGTGTAACAACCAAAAAATCTTCAAAGAAACTTTATCTTTAAAAATTCTGCATATCACTACATACTCAAAGCATGTCAAACTGTGCAATACACAACCTTCAGATAAAAGAAACAGCCTAATAAAATTCCACTGTTTTTATCAACAGTTGAAAATCCTTTAATATTTAACATCTGTTTCAATTTCTCTTATCTTTGTTATATATGAAGTCTGTATTCAGTTTACAGTTTGTCTCTGTTCACACTCCTTCCCATGAAATTCAATGCCAAATACTTTTCCACAGCAGGAAGGAGAATCTTACAAAATCGATAAAGAACACGAGAATATCTACATTTTAAGTCCACATTTATTCCTTTGTGTAAGTTTGAAAAAGATTAGGACTGTGTATACTCTATTTCCTTTTATACTGTGGCTATCATTCACCTCTATGTATCAAACTGAGTATTCAGAATACAAAGACTTATTTTCCTCCACTACTGACTTAAGAAAAATATGAAATCTCTGACTTCTATTTCTAAATAGTACCAGGTAACTGAAGAAGTACACAAAGTACTGCTTCCAAACTGTAGTTGCTACTATACGCTACATTTCTGTAAAGGTACACATTTACATACATACCAACTTCATTAAAATCTTCAAAGGTGATCTTGCCTGTCGCTTCTTGATCATAATTTTTAAGTATTTTCAGTACATCAGCTTTTTTAACATCAAAACCCAAGGCTCTCATTGCCACCTTTTGGAACAAAATGGAAGTGCAACCACATATGAAGATTAAAATACAGATTTAACAGATTACTTTTTATTTTCAGTAATTACCATCTTGCCCAAGAGAGAAGGTCTGTATTAGTGTTTTAGCAACAATAATAAATAAAATTAAATAAAAATGCTTTCTATATAAAATTATCTGAAAACAATATTAGCAAATGGAACATCAAGTTACAGTGAAAAAACTAGCCTTTGCATTTTCAGGGATTTTACAGATTGGCTCAAATGTTTCATAGGACCATAGGACAAGCAGACTTATTTTCCTCATTTCCAAAAACATTTCAAGTACTGACATTTTTTCAAAGATAAAACTGAAAAATCATTCTTAAAATTACTCTTCTTCAGTACTCATACTAAGTGTGTGAACATTTATGGGTTTACAAGTCCTCTTACGAGCAACTTCACTGCTTTTCCAGTGAACAACATAAACCAACCTATTTTTTTATTTTTCCATTATGTTAGGGAGTACATGTTTAGTTTTTAACTGAAATGGCAATTTCTCAGCACATACTACCTTGACTTCCTCCAAATTGATGAATATAAACTAAAAAGGAAGGAGAAAACCACAATCCTATTGGATGTAGCCATCCAAAAATCTATAGCGTATTTGCGTTTTGTAGAGGAGGCAGTTCTGTTCTTTTATGTATTTTTGTTCTTCTGTAGTATAATCTTCAGGGCCACAATATTTACTTAGGCAGCTAAGAAACAGCTTTGCAGTTAATCATGCCAGCTGGGAATTCAAAGCATACTATAACTGGAAAAAGTGTATTAACAGTCCTGAAACAGTCCCTTGTATTACCCTACTCACTGTAGCTTCCAGAAAAGATAAAATACATGAACTCTGAAATAAAGAGAAGGGAAATGCTATACTTAAGACATTGCTCTTAACAGCAATTAACAAAATTTTTTTGTCCCCGTGAGTCACTTGGTAGAGCCAGAATGTGGAGCCAGCAGGTTGGGTTAAGTATTCCTTCCTCAAAGGATCTCAACCAATATGTGACAGAACCACTGGACCCTCCAAAGCCACTTTTTGTTCCTGATGCAGTATAATCAGAATAAAAATTCATAAAGATTCTATTAAAGCAATTTTAATAAACTTCATGTACTACTTCTAGAGACTTCCAGGTGGGAGGACTCACTAGGAAAGGCTGCCATCCTAACCACTATTTGCTGAGAGCTGTGAACGGGAGAAGATTTCACTGGAAAGGGCAACTATGGAGCCCTTCCCACGAATAAAGAGCATGCTTCATCCTACAGTCCACAGGCTCCCTGTTGAAAAATTCAAGTGGGTAAACTCTGTCTTGTAGTCAACAGTTCTACAGATTTGATTTACATTTTTTACCTAAGCATCTGAAACCTGTGGATTTTCACAACACCAAGCTTTAGATTATATAGTGCCTTTAAAAAGGACCAGCTTTTCAAGAGCTTTTCCCACTTAGTCATCTGTCCAAGCTAAACCCTGGGGAGCATTCAGACCAGTATTATGACGGAAACTACAGCAATTTTGTTTCTTTGTCAAGTTTATAGTGTGGGAAGAAAGGCTAATTCTTACACCAATGCAACGTTTCCCACCCCCCTCCCAATCTTCACTCCTACAGCTCAGCAAGAGATCTTGAACATGGAGCATTTCTTAAAGATACAGTCAACATCTCAAAAACACACTAAAAACCAGATACATATTATCTGTCATGAAACTGTTTAAATCGAGAAAACCTTTTACCTTTAATTCATGGTAATTTATTGCTCTGTCTTTGTCTGTATCAAACAACTCAAAGGCATCTTTAATTTCTTGCTTCTGCTCCTCAGTCAGTTCTCTTCTTTTCTTTTTTCTACTTTTTTCTACGGAAAGCTCATTCCTATATGAGAAGAAAGAAATTCAGTGTAATTGATTTCTTCTGGAAAGATATCACTGTAGGTAACAACTTCCACCAATAAGAAATTCACCTTAATTGCATAAATCACTACCTTCTCTGTTCAGCCTTTTCCCAGCTTGTCCTGCCAGTTTAAAATAACACTTGAAATCGACAATTCCTCTGTGAAAGCGGAATGACACCTCCACTCCCCCACCCAAAATAAAACCAGCACAGGTGTTTTGGTAAATAAATACCCACCACAAAAACAGGGTAGAAAAACTACCAGTTAAAAAGAATACTTGAGGTTACAAACTAGATTAGCAGCTGAAATGATACAACTGAAAACACTTGTTTCTGAACTGCAGCTTAGAAGAATTTTGAGACACAGGCCGCTGGAGGCTTAACTAGAACAGACAAATTAGTTGTCTGGCTACTAAAGTGGGCATTAGGTGCCACAAACCGGCTTTGCTGCCTGTAACAGTTCTTAAGGCAATTGGCATTCATGGATTTTTTAAAAATCCTTTAAATCACACACATACACACTGTTCAAAAGACTTTCTGCTCTGTTTTGGTATACACAAAAGACAAGCCTCCCCCCTGCAGTCAGCAAATCTTGCTCACAAACAGCCCTCTTCCTTGGCTAGTCTAGAAATAAGATTAAATTTTCAGGTAACAGACAGAAAACGTATGATTCATATATTGGGCACAACAGCTGAAAAAGCTGAAAAGAATGGCACTGATAAAACGTACTTTGGACCAAGCTAGTAAAGGTTAAATTTTGCTGTAACTGTGCTTTATTCACAGCAATGAGATTGACTGCTGTAATCCAGAGTAATTGCTTGGAAGATGTCCACTTCAGAGCGAGAACTCTAATTAAAAAACAAAAGTAGTACATTTGAATTAACAGGTGGTATCAACTAATAATGTTAGACTACTCAAGGTACACTGGTACACTCTGGGAAGAAGCAGGCATGCATCAAGCTCACAGCATACTGTGGCTGTGATGAGCATGGCTAATTGCAGCGGTAAATCCCCTCCGCCGTGACCCCGAGGCCACATGAGATCTACTGCATCCAGCTGTGGGCACCCCAGGGCTACAGAAATGTACAGAAAGTGGATAAAGCCTAAGGCAGAGACTCCCTGGTTGCTGCAGCATATAAGAAGCTGAAGAAACTGGGTTTAGTTGGACTAGGTGGGTGAAGGCCAAGGAGAGGTGATCTAAGTGCTGTTCTTCACCATCTGGAGGGTTATTATACAGAAAAGAGTGTCAGGTTCCCCTCAGAGGAGCACAGTGAAAGAACAAGAGACAACTACTACAAAATGCAAGAGAAAAAACTGCAGCTAAGGGAAAACGTTTTCCCAGTATGAGTGTTTATAGGCTGGAACAGCTGCAATGAGACTGAAAAGTCCCCACTGTCAGAAATTTTCAGAATCTACCTGGAAAAAGTACTCAGCAACCTCATTCAGTTTTGAGTGGGACCTGCTCTGAGCAGAAAGCTGGACTAGATGACTTCCAGAAGCCCCTTCTAACGTTCTCCTCTCAAGGAAATGCTTTTTACACTCATTTATTTATTTGCACCAGAGGAAAAATGCATGCTCTGTCACCTACTGTAAAACGCATAAGAATTACTGATGAGTGAACAGAAAACCGATTTTCAAGGATATTTATTTTCCGAATCTCCAGTAATGAGCCGCTTTTTCTTCTCCTTTGTTAAAAATTTGCTAATTTTAATCAAAACCAAAGATTAAACACACAGCTGGGATTTAGCTTTCAACAACCACTGAAGCTACACCAGTAAAAATTCCAAATATAGACAAGAAAAGCTCAAGCTGCACAAGAAGGACCTGCCTCAGAACATTTGAAATTGTCAAAGAGTGAGAAATCCTTAGCAGGCCAGTGGGGGACAGCATGATTTCACATAGGCTTTGGATTACTATAGCTTTTGGAAGGACTAAAATAACTCTGTGCTGGCCACATAGCTCAGATCCAGAGAGCCCACATTTTGTGAGCCGCGATGACAAAATCCATTTATAACTCTGAAAGCAGATTAACGCCAGACTTTTCTGGAAGGAGCATCTGGCTACTTGAGTGTTTATTTAGTGCTTAGCATAAAGTGTTTCTTTCAAGAGACAGTACTTAAATGCAAGTAGTTTAGTTGCACTTTTACAACCGCTTTTACCATATGAAGCATGAAGTTCCCAGACTTGAAAAATTAGGATCGTATATGCCATATAAGCATATTAATTACACCTGAAGACAAGGATTTGCCAGGTATAAACTTCATAAGCTGAAACCCTTTGTAAAACAGTTACTGAATCAAAACTTGAAAATTAAGGATCGTATATGCCATAGAAGCACATTAATTACACCTGAAGACAAAGGTTTGACAGGTACAGGCTTCGTAAACCAGGCCCCTTTATAAAACAGTTACTGAATCAGAATAAAAAACAAAACAAAACTCAACAGGCTAACAACGCCTATTAAAACGCTTTTTAAAGATGTATTACTTAAAACAACTCAGAAGAGAGCGTCTCAAAGCCAGACGCGACGGGCCCTCCCCTCTCCTCAGTAAACAGACGCTGCCGAGCCTGATCCGCCCACGGCCCCCTCCGAAAGGATCAGCTGTAAGCGGCTGGAGGCTGCGGATGACCCTCGCCGGCACACGCCAGCTCCAGGCCCCGCCGCTGCCCGCCTCCCCCCCGCTTCCCGACAGTACCTCCCCC